GGTTACGTATTGTTCAAATGATCTGGTGTAAATTGAACTATTTCAGCTTATCCTGAAAATAGTTACTTATTAAATCAACGTATAAAAATTTATTCGCACATTAATCACACTATTGCCGCTGAGGTTATAGAAGCCCACGGTTGAGGGTTTCTCCGTCATAATGTGTCGTTATACACCATCGCTGTAAGCGTTCCTTTCTTTTTCTGTTGTCCTGTGCAACGAATAAGTCTTCGGAGTGAGTCCCAATTCCTTTTTGAACTCAAAGAATAGTGAAACCAAATTCAAGCCTGATTTTCGCCACAGGACAACAGATACACCAGTATGGTCATACAGGTACTGTACAACCGTGAGGCCAATTGCAAAGCAATTATTCCTGCTGGATAGTACCAAACCTCACATTGTCAGGTCGCGCTGAGCCAGGCGGCACATCCAACAGTAGCAGGTGTCACCATATAAAATATCAGCACCTCCGCACAGAAAGCGTAGTTACATACGAAGATCACAACCACCACTGGCGCCCCATCCGAAGTATGCATGCTCACAGATGTATCCGCGTCACACATTAACAACAGCGTAATGGGCAAACGTATCATCCGTGAGATACCGGTAACAACAATTTGAATTATTTCTAGTAAGTCATATTCAGCTTCATTATGCAATTAATTTCCTGTATACCATTCTGCCTAATCTGCTCTGATTCATTCTCCAAAACATAATCTTCCAAAATATTTCACCTTGCACATCGGCTATTTGTTATATGATATTCACATTATTATCTGGTTTACATTATCAGTACTTGGTCGTAATTGTATCTGTTTTCTTTATTTTTTATTATTTCATCTAATATTGTTACATTGTAATCGTGTCGAATCATTAGTATGGCAATCATTAGGTTTCAATGAAAAATCAATGTTTCTATTTTAAATAGTTCCCACAAACAAATAAATAAATAAAAATAAATAATATCTTTGGTAATGGCTTGGATCGGTGGTTTTTATATGTGAAATGTTCCTGAAATTTTAGAAGTGATGTATAACATTGTCCAGTCGGCGCAACTTTAAAGGTGGAAAGGAGTCAAAAGTCTATAATACAGGAGCTGCCGATGGCATTTATTGGTAATACCAGTTGAAAATTAAAAATAGTTTCATTGCAGACTTCACATAAAATATCAGTCGCGTCGATAAAAATTAGTCAATAATCTATATGAAGGTATATATATTCTACGCTCATATTCGTACTTATCACACTCAGGTTCTGGTAATGGTTCAGAACCAATCATACTGCTCCATCGTTTGATATTATCAACAAATACTAAGCAACGGATTTATCTTAAATCACATATTGAATACCTAGAAAATATTTTTATATTATTATTATTACTCAAGTAGGCAAACGAAGAAAATAATATGATGGACAAAATGGTGATACAAGCATATGATGAAAACGGTTTGATATTATCATTGGCGCAACTAGGGGGGTGCACAGGGGACTTGTGCACCCCCAAGTTTGGAATATGCACCCTCGAAAAATAAAATCCATTTTCTAAAAATTATTGAAGGTATCATAATGTATATTATTGAGAAAAATAGTTTCCTATTTGCTATTATGTTCCCTGCTATACATAATGTATAGTGTATACATATATATTTTATACCGACACTATATAATATAGTCTTATTTTATAATGTACTAATAAACAATAAGTTTTGACTTATAACGTTTTTATACGGGTCTCATAAACGAAGTTATTCGTAATTCGTGGAACAACAATTATAATGATATTATACTATATTTATATTATAGCTGTTACTTTTTTTATTTGTGTAATGTGAACGGTAATGGGAGTAATGATGTGGGGGTGTGGGGGCTTTGCCCTCACGGCTCTGTGAGCTCTTCACTATTTGTGCACCCTCAAAAGTATTGGTCTAGTTGCGCCTATGGATATTATGCTTGTTTTTTATTGACTAAAATCTGTGTCGCTTTGTTTAGAGTGTTTTGATACAATATTTATAAACAAATATATTATTATCACACACGAAAATCATTTCTAAGCGCGATTAAAGAAATATTTTACAACTGGTTGATTTTTATTAATGTACCGCTATTATTACTATTACTAATAATGATACATATGCTTATTGTAAATTAATTTAATGAATGTATAATAAGTTCGAATAAATTAGAAAAACAAGTCTTATTACGTTATTCAGTTATCAACTGTTAAAATATTTTTTTTTTATATTAACCTAATTAATTTATAATGTTGACTTTTGATTTTGAAGTATCAAATACACGTAATCAATACTACTCGTATGTTAAATTAGTTAAGAATTGTTCATGAGAATAAAATATTCAAAACATGATTAAAAAATAACACAACAATATTTATATATTTACACTTTATATTATTGTATACATTATAAATATAATATGTTTTGTCAACTTAAAGGAACTTGTTATTGTATGATACATAATAATATACTTAATAATCTAATATCGACCGCGCTCTGCAGTGTTTTACATAATAGATAGTAAAACTCTTAACTAAGAGATATTTGCTTAGTATGATTTAACGATAAAATAATCAATAATTATGTGCAGATCTATCATATACGATATATAGTTCAAAAGGAATTTATGCGTAATAATGATTGTTATAACCGCTAATGAGACCATATTATAAGTTATAACCAATCTTGTATCATGTAATTAAAAATCCTGTTCATACAAGTACAACAAAAAATCACAATTTACCTATTTAGTTTAGTATTATTTATAATAATGAACTTTCAATTTTTTGAACGGCAGTTAAACCTTTATTTAAAAATTTGATAATTTGAACTTTTTAAATAACCTGTCATTGTAAAATAATATTTATTATTAATGTCTTACTTCAGACTGTATATATATATATATATTTAATGCTGTAAACAGTCAAAATTATTTTAGTATTGTGTGTCAACCTAGCTCATAAGATACTATTCGTATAACCAAAGGCACTATGAATGTATGAGAAAACCACTTTAAGTAATAATTTATTCCTTATTTCGATATTAAAATTGTAAATACAAATTAACTATATTTTATACAATTTAATCGTATTATACACCTACAATAATTTTGAAAAGAATTTAATGAAATAATTTTACTAAAAAATATAAAAACCATTAATAATTATTAAGGTATTAGAGTCTTGAGTGTATTATCGACGTAAATTAACATAAAAAAATGTAAACCTCTTAAGTAGATGTCATTATCTGCAAATTATGTTATATAGATATTACTAAAGTACATAATATACTAAATTTCACGTTTAGAATATTTAATTTTACTCAATTATTTTTTATATTAGTTTGAATTGAGAATCATTGATCCTTTTATCAAATATAAAGATTAGAGTTATTATTTAAAGCCCTACGTAGGTTAGGTTATTGTATTATTTAAAATTATCTTTTTACAACAATACACTACTCTATGAAGATTTAAAAGTCATAATTTTTGAATGATTATTATTGTACATATTTGTTGAAGTATAATTTTTTGTTTACTTATGTTTTAATAAAAGTGACATAATACTGAAGAGGAAAAACTGTGTGTTCGCCCTCGTTTAATAGTAGGTAAGCACGGATACTGTACGGTAGGTAGTGACATAAGTGGCGTGAAGTATACTTGCGAAAGGTGATACCGATTATATATATTACTAGCACTATTAATATTAAGGTTTGTTTTCATGCTTAAAAACGAACAAAAAATAAACAATATTGTGTTTACGTAACGTTTTTTCGATACATTTTACGAAACAAAATGATAAGAAATATGTTATAGGTAATAATTATATAATATTGTGATAATGTTTGTTCAACATAATAATGTATGATATAACTGCAGCGCGCGGGTATACAGCATTTGTGTATGTTATAGGAATAGGTCGAACTTAAATTTTCATCAATTTGAACTTCGTTTTTTCTCAAATAGTCCAAAATCGAATTCAATCTCCTTTTTATCGAACTTTTCGAACATTTTGAATTCTCGAACTTTGATCAGATAACAAAACTAGTATAAAATTATGAAAACTGATAAAGCCCATCCAAAAAAATAGTATTTCATAAATACGGTTATTTGTATATCATAAAATATATAAATGCTATTTATAATAGTATCGATATTGAACTTTATTTTCATCGAATTTTTCAAAAATATTCGAGTTTGGAGTATTCGATTTTGAGTAATAATTCATTAAGTACTGTTTACAAATTTATCGAAGTTTGTGGTATTCGAGTGTTTAACTAGTTTGAGAACCCATCTCTAGTATAGATTATTATATTATATTATATACTATGATGTAGTGGATTATGGTGGATACCGCGGCCCGGCCGGATGTTGGTATAGCGTGGACAACCCCGCGGCGGACGTGGTCCAGTAAGAAGGCCCGGCCGGAAATATAGCGGTCGACGGACCAGAAGCGGAAGCGTGCTGTTGGCTGTATAGGCCGTTGGCAAAGTCGGACGGCGACGGTGTAGACGGCACGGCGACAGATGATGGGCCAGCGGCTGCTTGAAGACCAGACGTCTGTGCTGTTGGCATCTGCGGCTGGCTTTGATGGCACGCAGTCATCAGTCCATGGAAGTCGAACTTGTACGCGTACCGTTTACCGTGAACTTTGGTCATGATGTTCTTGTCGTAGTAGTACCTGCGGCAACGCAACAATAATTACAACACCACGTAAATTAAATATATAACAAATGTATTGCACAGAATTGATTCAAATGAGATTAAATATTCAAATAATCATCGATAAAAAGAAAATTATCATCGATTCATTTTCCTAATTAATAAGAAAAAGTACCAATAAAGGTACACGCGTACAGTAGAAATCGGTTGTATAATAACCTAAAATTATAGGTTTCAGCCAAACTATATTAATAGTTAACTATATTAATAGTTAACTATATTAACTATATTTATATTTTTAATGTTTTATAATATTATATTTTACAACAGCGGTGTATAGCCGCCAGAGGGAAATTTTGAAATGCTTTTTGCGGTGTTCAGTAAACGTAATACCGTAAGACAAAGACTTGATCGCATATGCATTGTAATTTATATGACGATTGCTGCAAAAGTCTAAAATTTTCTCAAAGTATCAGAAAATAAAACTTATGAGAGGTACTTTATTTAATTAATTTACCATACATAATGAATTATTCTACTCCCCCTCCCCCCTAACCACAAAGCAAAATCCTGGCTATGCTCCTGAATAATGTTTATTTTGTATAAATACTACCTAAGAGCTCTGCTGAGCTTATCGTAGTTCATATTAGGCTTCGACTTGCGTTCGCCCCAACGTCTGGCCACCTCGTCCGGGTCAATCAGCTTGAATTCGCCACCGGGACCGTCCCAGCAAATGCACCCGACGTTGTTGGAATCGGCCAGCAACTCCAACAGGAACTGCCACAATTGTATTTGCCCCGAACCCGCGGCTGCTTGGGCTACAAGTCGACTGCTAGCCGCGTTGACCACCTCGTATGGATCTGTAAATGAACACGCCAACACTTTTAAGACATAATATAATATACGGAAATTAGACAGTTACAAACCACATAACATAGCATAATATAATATACCATCAGATTATCATTGAATTGACTTACAATTGAAAGACATACGTCGTAATGTTTTTATACGTTTATTGTGTTGAGCGGATGTCAGAACACAACAATTGTTTTCCTTCTCTGGACCATGCGCAACATAGACAAAGCGCATCCGCCACATCAAGTTGAATATTAAATCAAGTTAAATAATATTAAAATATAAAACGGCTATGTCAAATACATAAAAATATTATTCCCTATGATATTTTCGATGTATGTCTTACTTTAAGATTACTAATAAGTAATAAATCGCAAAAAAATATTTTACCTAAATGCGTTTTGTCTATGCAACGATTAAATCTGAGGAAGAAAACAAATATTGCTCTGAAATCTTTTTAAATATATTGAAGGGTTAATAGTAGGCATTATAAATATAATATGTATGATAAGCAACGCAGAGCTACAGGAGGTCCCAAATCCTGGGTAATCCTATTTAACAAAAATAAACACGAGTCCTTTCATTCATAATTTTTTTTTTTTTTGGGGGGAGGGGGAATGTCTAAATTAAAAATTCATTTGAACTTTTATTTATCCACTAATACCTATATGTTATGTGTAAGTAGTTAAACAACGTGATTTATTGCGTTTAAGTAGGTGATTAAAAAGAATAAAATCTAATTATTATAGACGATAAACATATATTAGATTATTAAAAATTCAAATTCTAAACATTAGTTCAAACATACTTTTTTTAAATGCATTAACCTAACATAGTTCAAACAGTACAAATTAAAATCAACTACTTTGATCAAAGTAACCTGGGTGTTAATCTCTAGATAATATTATATTTTTTTTTTAATTATTATTTTGTGTTTATGACCACGTAATATGTGAATAGGAAAACCGTTGATTGATAACTTTGAATATACATTGTAGTTAATTAAAATACCATTTACCAATCTCATTTAAAATGCATTTAACTTATGGTAACTTGCTTAGGAAACCCAAGTTGGTTTGAACTAATGAACTTTTCTATCAGATAATAAAAATAAATTAAAACAATAAAAGAATAATCATGCGACAAGTGATCCATTTTTAATATTATATACTCGTATTTACATTAAAAGACAAGAATTTATACTTTTGTATAAGATATATCGCTGAAATCTATTTAAATTTTAATAATAACCACAGTAAGATACTGAACAATATTAAGAGAACTTTGAATTTTTTACATTGTAAACCATTAGCCCGCTGTGCCTTGTGGACTTAGATCATAAAACCGCTTAAATTAAAAAAATATCATTAACTACGTATGTATTGCAGGATAAAGCCATCATACTAAAAAGAATGTGTTAAGTTAAAATAATAAGTGTATAACTTATATATAATTATGTTAATGTTACAGTAATTTAAGTAGATATTTATCAATATTTTGTTAATTTTATTCTAAATAATAAAATAGTAACTAAAAAATATATTTAAATAGGGATTTTGATATCAGCCTTATTATTATGTATATTTAAATAAAATTGTAGATAGGTACTATAGACAAATAATTGGAAAGTATTTAAAATGTTTTGATAAAAAATTATATTTATTTTTACTTTTTTATAATACGTAATATTTGTTTAAACATATTTTAATTAATTCAATCGTAAATACTCATTATAATAAACAAATTGGAAATATTTAAATCAAGTAAGACATAGGTAACTAAACGTTAAACAATTTAACGGGTTATCGATTGGGTCCAACATCGCCATCATCTTTAGATTACCTTTAAAATAATAATTAGAAATAAAGAACAGATAAATATGGATCAAACATAATCTATAAAAAAATATTGATAAACAGTATAATAGGCAATATCTATTATATAATCATCAACGCAAGTACACGCCGTATTTAATTAATTCATATTGCATATTAAAAATATAACTTTATACTAAATTGTACTCGTATATATGACATTTACCTACTTCGTAGTTAACAAATATTTTTATAAAAATCAAATATTGCAAATCTTTATCACTCTGTATAACGTTTGAATATTAGTGAATAATTAGTATAGAAGATATCAACCAACTCTTAATATTTTAATATTATATTTTTAACTCAACAAGTTGGAGAATTTGGTATAAACTAAATATGAAACCTATAAAATACGTTGCTAAAATATTTGCAAAAATATCTAGCTATTACCCAGTTAATCGCAATTTTCAGATCAAGTTAAGATTAAAATACATGTGCGTTTATTGTATATATGTTTTGTTTATTTGTTTTATACATAGGTTTAGACTTATATAAATGATCATAGACCATAGTGAACAATTAAAATATGATTTTATCATTTCTCTGACTTATTTCAATAAATCAAAAAAAATAAATAAATATTTTTGGCTGTGTTTCACATTTATACATCAAAAATTAATTTAATAGTATGAAATAAATGTTATGAATTTTACCCAGAATAATATATGTATATAATATTTTAGGATATATTTTGAATAAATAAAACTTGTTGAACTATTTTTAATAATATTAATTGATTTAAAGTATAGAGAAACGCGGTATTTTTGAAGTAGGCTGTCCGTGGATTCGGACAGGTATGAATAAAATCATATATATTCATGTAGCTAATAATCAAAAGGTACAAAAAAAAAAAACTGATTTACCTACGTTAAAATGACAATATAAAACTTAGAAAACACTACACCAATTAATAACAGGTGTGTGGCATCCTCTTAATGTATTTAAACTTCTATGATTGCGTATACCGCTGCATCATATGTTACATCTATATTAGCACACATGCATTATAATAGTTTAGAGACAAAGTATAATGCATAACTATTATCAAAAAAAGAATTTATTTTATTATTCATCATGTTACTTTCTTAACTCTTATAATCTTTATTTTTATAACGGTATACGTACATTACGTTAAAAAAATGCTTATCATTTTTAACGTATGGTAAAAATAACTAAAATAACTTTTATACTTTATTATTATAAAATACGTAACATAAACATTAAACAATAATTATCAGGCTGATGTATATTAATTTAATTTATGTGTATAAATAACATGCTACTGTTGCAAAATAGTATGATGATATCATGCATATCCCAAATAGTATGTTCAGTGGCGTGGTCAACTTAAAAATTATCTGAAACTAGTGTTTATCCTCTTTACTCATTAGTTAGTTATAAGTTATCACCCTACTAATTATAAGAATACCATTACTTACTCACCAAAAAATAAAGGATGAGGCATACCTACTGAATATATATTCCATTTTACATCACATATTCAAATACTGGATAATTCCTTTTAACAGTATAAGCGTTATAATTTATTATTGAAAATATTCTTTAAATATTAAATGATTTGAAACCAATAGCAAAAAAATATTAAAAAAAAAAATATTAATATTTTTACTCTGTATAGTTATATAGGTATTATTTTATAATTATCAATTTACCTTAAAATATCACAGCATTCGCGTCACTGATCATACTATTTTATATTTTAATTTTTAAGGTATTGGTTCAATATGTGACCCTATTGATTTTTTTTATCTTTCAGTACGTTTTCCTATTCATTTATCGGAATCTATATTATATAATGTGTTTATAAAAGTAACCAGATCGGATAAACAGAGATGTTATTGTGAAAAAAACGATCTTTTTCTATGGATAGATATGATAGAATTAGTACAATTCATGTGACTAATAATGACATTTTGAAGTTGAAATAAACTCAATCATATAGGTAAAACTATAAAGTCGTCTTTAAAAAACTACATTAGTGAGTGGTTAAACCAACCGAACAATAGTATAATAAAGAAGACAGGTTGGAGCTCCACTGTTATAAGAACCAAGAAGAATAATGGATGATGCAATAATTTTTCTTTATTATTTTACTATATTATGATGCAATATATTTGAAGATAACATAATATTTTATTAGGTGGTGCAGACTACTTGTTGTAAGTCAAATCGGGCAAATCAGCTGGTCACGCATTTAGACCGCATACGAATTTTGTCCCGGTTTTTCTATACAATTATAATTGCATCCCAATTATCTGATATTTGTATAATCGTAAACTATTATCTATGTCATTAATGGATATGAGTATTATGACTGTTAATTATCAAATAATACTTTGAAACTCATAAAATAAACGTATACGGAGGTTAGTATATGTGTTTCGATTATGTGTCGTTAACTATCGTGTGCTATTCTGTTTTTTAAAATTATTAAAAAATTATACACAGCGTTGGATGTACCTATTGCAAAATCATGCAAGTTATATATATATATATATTAAATTAAATAATAAAAAAAATAAATATTGAACATGCTAATGAGTATAATCATGCAAATTATTCTGTTGAAATATGAAATAGACAAAAATTAAGACATAATTTAAAACTCAAGCCAATAGACGATCTCTACGATAACCCATCAAAATTAATTCATAAAAAATTATTAAATGAAGTATCGACGTCGACATCGGACGCAGTTCACATATAGTTGTTAAATAATATCGAGTTGCAATTCGTATGAAAAAGATATCATGGGACGTAATTCATTTTCTGCGAACATTTATAACAGAAAACAAATAGAAATAGGTCTAACATTGTGTGGACCCCTGTATAATAATGAATTTACTTATCCGCGTATTACATCGCATAATATCTATGTGAATATATATTGTATAATATTATATAAACCATTGTAGAAAAGTTGAGCCGAATGTCCGAACGGTTTAGCCCGGTTGAGGGCGGTGGCCATCTGCAAGTGTCTCCTGAGATCATTCCGATCGCAAGCCGACAGTTGCCACATCTATACCTATGTACGCGCAGACTGCCGTGTAAGATCACACGATATTCACGTCGTTGCAGTAGACATCATCTGCTCGGCCGACGTATCTAAATGTAATCCAATATATATATATATATATTATTGCACGGACGAACGCGAGTGATCGTTTATACGACGGCGGCGGTAATCACGATATATTTCATAAACTACTTTGAGCCGTAATCAATGTATACGTATATATTTATACATATATATATATATATGATTAATTAATACGATACATAATTATTATATAAAAAGTATATTTACGTTGCACATGCAACACGTATTATCACAGTACAAAATATATCGCGTAAAACGGTATTGTTACAGCTACGCATTATTACATGTCGAACGGTCGGCGGCGAGAGGAGCGCGTGTACACTGGCAACGACATCACGCGACCGTTGTCGTAACAGCAATGCGCACTAGGTGCGATGATTGCAGCAGTATCATAATATATTATACTCACATATAACGGCGCGACTGATCCGCATAAACGGTTTTCCGCGATTTTTCTCCACGCATCTCGCGATACGTATAGACCTACTCCATAGCGCTAACCCATCCCCACCCGCCGCCCACCCCTAACCCTAAGCCCCGAGATGCCCCGGCGGCGGTTCGAGCCACCCGCCGATAGGTCGCGAAAACACCATTTTTTTATACACGCCTCCAGCTTCCGACACGAGTCCACGCCTTCGCGACGATTTTCCTGCGCCCCGACGGCGATACGACGCATATTCATAATATGCTGTACAACGAACCGAGTTTACACGTCAAGTCGTTGTGTGTTTGTTATGCCGCCTATTTTATGCGCGTGAATATGATGGTTTGTAATGTCGTTAACGCATTGTGTGCACGCACATGCTTTCAGTTTAAGACACCAAACGATGATATTTTTCCAGAATTTCGTCTTACCTTCGATGCTTCGAAACGGCTGAACGCAAAATTTTACATTGGTTTATAATACTACGCGATATATAAAAACGTTACAATTATAGTACCTATTATAGTCTATATAGATACACTAGTATAGATCTATGTTTATATTCGATGTTTGCTTGCTATGCGTATTTAATGTCATCATAAAACTACAAAAATATTACTATAAATAGAATTAAATTTCAAAATTAAATGCGGTTAAACGAACGACAAACCAATGAATTAATGGAAAAGGAAGGAGTTCCTACTTGTGAAGTTTGAGGTGTAATACTAACAGTGAAACACATTGCAACCGAATGCATAAAATACGAGCAAAACTAATATAGGTTTAAAATAGAAGAAGTGTTTGATACAACACTGGGGACAGAAACCAAGGACAGTGCGAAAATAATATAATTTTTTTAAATGAACTAAATTTTTCAACGCAATTAAAAAAAAATGTCTATTGTCTTAATGTATTCTATATATTTTATTTGTAAATAACATAACTATAACTAATGGCCATCTAAGTTGAGTTTTTTTCTTAGAGATCAATAAAAAAATTTCAAAAGTTTACAACACATTTTATAGAATAGCAATAGCCCGTTACGTTTTTATTCATTTAATATATCAATACTGTTGTTGCAGAGAACAGAGCACGTTAAGATGATTTGCTATTGTAATCGCTTTTATATACAAGATATTGGACCACATAATCATCTCTCAGGCCGAGTAAAAAACTATTTTGTAAATCACATAACGTATATCTCAATATTTAAAAATAAACATTATAGTATACTAGCTATATTATTTAAGCCTTATACACCAATGTAATTTCCAGGGGTGGATTTAACAATTTGCCGCTCCTATGCCAAATGAAATTCACTGCCCCTATCCTAAAAAAAAAAATGACAATACACATGTTAATTACAGTAGACAGACTCCATAATTTTAGTAACTTTTCTTTTTACATTGGTTATTGAAATATCTGCTTCAATTTTTGACGCTCCCAAATCGCGACAATGCTCATTAATATTTTTTATGACGATATAATAATTTATCATAGTATGAATTCACGCTTTGCTAGCCTTTGCAAAAAGTTCGTATACGGCAATACTAAAACTGTATTGTATAGTTAAAATTAACATCATAATACATCATATGTAAAACCATTACACACAAGTATTCCACGACCACAAGTCAACATTACTTGAGGTTTTATTATGTTACCTTCTGACTTACTAATCTACTGCGAGTTGAATCTAATTAAAACGTTATTGCAACAATTATAATTGTGATCTTTGTCGATGAGCCATGAGCAATGAGTATAGGTTTTAAGGTAAAATAAAATAAATGAGTAAATCCAACAATATCAATACAAATATAATATAAAATTATATGAAGTGAATTTAAAGTTATTTGAATAAATACACAATTTTTCGATCATGGTGAAATGACTACGGGCTATCTGTCTCATCTCGTATATATTTTATTATCTACAATCTACATAATATACTATACTAATATCTATTATTAATCCATATTATGTCTATAATATATTAAGTATTTAATTTAATAAATTTAAATAGTTTTCCTTTCCAATGTTTCCAGTGTAGATTATTTGCTGTTCTATTCTGTGAATTATTATTACATTGAGAAGATGCTAGAGGCTAGAGTAAAAAAAGCGATATAAACACTTGTAAAAGATATCTATACTTTGACTGTATACATCGTATTGGTTTTAATAATTATTACTAGAGCAAGGACTCTCGTATATTTATATTTTTTATCTGGTTAACTTAATCGTGTGTTCAGTAAGTACAAGATACATTTCACAGCATTTGTGATCAAATACTCAAAGTTCTTAGTGCACATTTTTGCGTAATTGACATTTTTGGGTTTAAAAGACATATTATTTTATTATATGAACATATTCTAAGTTGTAAGTGTATATTTTGATTGTTAATCGAAAATTAAGCTCTTCAGAAAATATTTTTCATGAGTCTAAAGTTAACAATTATATTAAACTGTTAATTTGTTATAAAGACGATGGAAACTAATTTTTATCTTAATGGTTGGTGAGTAGATTAGTTTAGATCTGTATTAACTGTATTATTGTTGTTTTTTTTTATATATATATATACAGTGGTCGCCGTTTAATGTAATCACTTTGGTACGGGACATAACTGATAACATAATCCGGTTGATAACATTAAACGAAAGTTAAAAAAGTTATAAAAAATAATAAAATCTACGTTAAATACATAGTTAATAAAAATATAATTTTTTTATTTATTATTATTTATTTATAATTAAAGTACATATGTAGGTATAAATTGGAAATTTAAAATTTAAAAAATAAAAAATTAAATGTAAATAAATAAATATGTATAATATGTATGTACACCACTAACATTTATATCTTTATTATGAGACATTGATTTTATGAACTCAAACTGATAATATTATGCGGCGTATTGATTACAAAAACCGACATAATTTACACATATAACTATAGATCCGGCCCGTACCTATACTTTTCGATAACAATAAACGATTGATAACATTAACCGTGATTATAATAAGCGGCGACCACTGTATATATAGTTATAAGTTATAATTACATAGAAAATTTAATAAAATAAAATAATAAAATGAACTAAAATAAATAAAATATTTTTGAGAAAATTAAATATATTAGTATAATATGGGTTAGTATTTTTTTCTAAAATACACTTAAATGCGTGTTTGATAATTTTTTAGGACATAAGTCCTTGCCCTAATTATTACTATAATTACTTATTAAAATAAACATATATTGATTAATGTTTAAATTTAGATAATAAAATTCACATAATCATTTATATTGACTAAGAAATTATTGGCCAACCAATAAGAAGTGTCAGTTTAAAAAAAAAAATAGGTGTTCTATAGTGATTTGTCATTTTGTCTTTTTCGGCTGTATTATATCGTACGAGTACATAATGTATAAAATATTTATATTTTTAATTTTATTTTGTATTATAGAGGCTATAGAACTCAATAAATATATTTAAAATAATGATAAAAAATGAAAGTAGTATTAATATTAATTATTAACAAAAAAAAAAGTCAAGTGGGAACCTTTCTGGTGTACGCCTGTACAGTAGATATCAAGTGGATCACTGCATGTAGTCTGTAATAAATGTGTTTAATTTTACTTTAATGGTGTATCATTATTGTATATCATTATATCTTAATAAAATATCAAAAATCGTTTGACAAGAAATAGTTACTATATGGATGAATCCTGTTATTTCGTAAAAAGTTCAACTTAAACAGTCGTAAAAATCAATGTAACTTTTCAATAAACTTTTTTTTTTACTATATGTAGAAAAACCTGCAAATCTTATGAATGTTATACAGCATTTTTAAATTTTATGTATAAAAATAATTTTTTTTTGTGAATTTCTAACTACAAAATAATATTTGAGGTTTTGTGAAAGGTTCTAACATTGGACGCTTATAAAAAATATTGTGACTATATTTTCGATATTTTTTAATTGTTAAACGAAAAACTAAAGAACAATTTTGTATAACATTTTCAAACATTTTGACCGGCAAAAAAAAAAAATATTTAAATTTATCAAATAAACTAGGAAAACTGTAGGAAAGCTAACATAAAAGTTTGGTGAAAATTTAAAATATACATAGAATATGACGTGCTGTTTATAAAGTAATACATGATAGCGATTATATTGCATCTATTCTACAAATGATTCTGATTTGAGATTCGATTACTTGATTATAGTTTAAATTACTTTTTATTAAAATTGTATGGTTATCAATAGTTTTTCATATATTTAGAATATATTGAAAGAATTAATAACTAAAATAATAATTTAAAATCTTATAGAATAAAAGTGTAAATTTAATATAATTAATTTGATTAAGTATGAGCTTATTTAAATTAAACGAGCTTCGAAATTTTTTTTATTAAAAATTTATAATTCAAGAATATCTCCAATATGATAATAATATAATAAATATTTTAATACTTAATGGTAGAAAGAATATTGAAAATAATATATTGTATTTTTGGAAACAAATCAATTATTGTTACGTTTTTTTTTTTTTTTTTTTTTTTTTTTTTTAGTTTCTATACATAGATGTTTCTTATTTGGTGTGACTGTTTATATACGTTATTGTGGATGTAATGGGTAAAATGAAATCGGAAGGGGCTTTGATTAAAAGAGGTCATTTTTAACAAAAGGGCCGATGTTATCCGGTGCGTAGGGGTTAAAACTGTTATCGCGTCTCTGGGGTGTTGACCGTAGTCCTTTTTTTCTGTGTCTTTTTCTATTTTCGAAACCTATATAATAATATACACACTGTCCAATGGTCCAACGTCCACTTCTCAATGATATTTTAAGTGTGTAGATACGACTTCACTGATTGTTATATACGCGTAGAAATAATCAACGACCTCGCGTCGACCCTGGTGTAGAGATTTTGACACCAACCTTCCAGATTAAACTCGAAACGTTACGCCAT